CCGAGGTACCACTATAATTTTATGCTGTGAACTGCCCTGAGGTCTATGGACAAAGGGCAGTACAGTGGTACCTCGGGTTACAGACGCTTCAGGTTACAGACACTTCAGGTTACAGACTCTGCTAACCCAGAAATAGTACCTCGGGTTAAGAACTTTACCTCAGGATGAGAACAGAAATTGTGCGGTGGCAGCAGGAGGCCCTATTAGCTAAAGTGGTACCTCAGGTTTCAGGTTAAGAACGGTTTCAGGTTAAGAACGGACCTCAGGAATGAATTAAGTTCATAACCAGAGGTACCACTGTATATAATTTTATTATTGTTAATTAATAGTGTTGCACTCAGGCTACACTTTTGGGCTTCCCGTGAGCATCTGGGTGGCCACTGTCAGAACATTATGCTGGACTAGATGGGGCATTGGGCCTGATCCTGCGGGGCTCTTTTTATGAAAGGCTAAGGATGGGCGTCACATGTTGGCAAGAGAAATTGGAATGTGGCCTTGAGGATTCTGGGTAACCTCTGCTAGGGAGATTCCAATGGAAGCCTTGGCTGCTGCAGCAATAGGAATACCGTATTGGCCCGAATATAAGCTGCACCTTTAAAATTGGAGGGGGGGGAAATATACTGTATAAAATACCCAAATATAAGCCGCTCCATTCCTCGCCGTTCCTGGCGCTGTTTTCCTCGAACTCCTGGCTACATACCATAAGGTTGTGAATATAAGCTGCACTTTAACTTTTCACGGTTGGAATTTGGGGGGAAAGTGAGGCTTATATTTCAGGCCAATACAGTAGATCATTTTTTGTTTTCCGCGTTGTCCTTTCCATATGTGTCCCTGACTCTTTCTCTGTTCTCTTGCCCCATAGACCCCGGTGCTGCCTCCCACCATCACAGATCAGATCCGGCTGTGGGAGCTGGAACGAGACAGACTCCGCTTCTCTGAGGGTGAGTGTCTGTGGGTGAGGAACTCCGGTGGGGTGGAAAAGAGAGAAGAACATGGGAAAGAGAAGGGGCGTATCTCTAGTGGAAATATCTCTGCGTTCTGGCAGATTATCTTCCCGTCTTCCACCCCACCCAACTTCCTTCTTGCTTCAGATCCACCTTTCTGGGTTCCCCCATATTGTGTTTTTTCTTCCTTCTTTCACATCAATTGCTCATTCCTCTTTTGCCTCCACGGTCGGACGCAGCAATACTTCTGAATACCAGATTCTGGAAACCACAGAAGAGCAGCGCGCCAGTTGTGTTCTCAACAGGGTGGATAAAAATCAATGTTTTTTTTAAAAAATCAGGTTTTTTAAAATTTGAATCGGATTTTTTAAATTTAAATTGGGTTTTTAAAATAACATGCTTTTGGAGAAAAAAATCTTTCTAAAGATAGTTTTCTATTTAAGTTACATTATAGTCCAAAGGCTATTCATCAGGAAATAAGGATTTGTTTTAAGTTTTTCATGTGTGCTATAAAACTCATTAAAGGGGAAAAAATTGTTTAACCACATCAGTTTATAATCATTGATACATATGCTATAATGTTATTGTTTTAGTTAAATAATTTTTTTAAATTGTTATTAAGGAAATGATTGTTTTTCTCTTTCCAATAAAGTACAGCAGAAAAGTTGTCCCAATATAGATAGTTAACTTATTAAACCTTACAATCATTTCATAATTATTTGTCTATGTATTTCTAATAGTATAACCAAATCAGTAATTTTTTATATAACTGTAAAAAGTACTCTGAAAAAGTACTCTGAAAACCTTCTTCTGGTTGTAAATACTAAGATTATGCCAGCAAGAATGATTCTTTTTGTAAAAAAAGAGAGAGAGAGATTTAAATCAAGTCTTACTGACTAGTGATTTAAATCGATTTGATTTAAATCAATTCCACCATGGTTCTCATCCCCCCTTCTTTGCATCCACCATCCCCCTCAATCCTCTCCCTGCCACCTTGTTCCTTTCCCTGACCCTTCTCTGCCTGCCTCCCCATCTTCTCCTCGCATCTCAAACTCTTGAGCTCCCCTCTGTGCTTTTTCACCATGTCTTCTTGCTCCCTCTCTCTCCCCAGGTGTCCTCTACAACCAGTTCCTGTCCCAGGTTGACTTTGAGCTACTGCGCAACCATGCAAAGGAGCTGGGGGTCCTTGTCTTCGAGAACCCGGCCAAACGTCTCATGGTGGTGACGCCTGCCGGCCACTCGGACGTCAAGCGCTTCTGGAAGCGGCAGAAACACAGTTCCTGAAGGCCGGGGAACTGCCGGCACTCCCAGATCTCTCCCCTTGCACTTTTCTGCTGGGAAACAGGAGTCGGGGTGGGGGTGTTAACTGCATCCCCCCTGCCCCTAACTGTCAAGGAGTAGCAGAGAGACAGAGAGGAAAAGAGAATAAGGTTTCTTAGGGGTTGTCTGATGACCCCCCCTCTGGTCAAGAACTGATTAAGAGGAGCAGGAAAACGTCTCTAGGTTCAGCTTCCTCTTAACAGAAGTGGCTAAAGCTTGCCGGCTGACGGCTGCCACTCATTCTCTGAGCGGATGTGGCCCCGCTGTTCCAGCTGGGCTACTGCTGATATGGAATAGGTTAAGACAACTAAGCAGCTGTTTAAAATGTACGTGGCAGGGTGCCAGCATGTATTTGGAACAGACTCACACTGTTTAAATGGAAAGTTGATCTAAAACCTGGATCAAGCAGGGTAACAACATCGGATCAGATTTGTAAATAGCCTCTTTTTTGTAATGTTTTTATTGCGATAGAAGTAGCAATAAAACACCCACACCGGAAGTTATTTTAGATGGGTTCTTTTCCCTTCTCTCTTCACGTTACGGAGGAGCTCAGCGCACCAGTTTGCCGATTACATCGAGGAAACCCTAAGAGAGGTCAAGAACTACAGGCAAATGTGCTTTCTCTGGAGTATGTGCAAAAGTTGAATCAACCCTTGTTTGGGGCAGGTGGTTAATCAGCCATGGAAAGTAGCCCACAAAAAAACTGAGGAGTCTGGATGAAATGTATTTTACCCCGTCTGGGCTTGCTCCCTTGTGAGTGGGTGACTGGGCTTTCAGACTACAATCCTGCACACACTTACCTAGAAATACACACACACACCCTCAATTCAGCTCTTCTGAGTAAGAGTACACAGGATTAGCTTAACCCAGGCATCCCCAAACTCTGCCCTCCAGATGTTTTGGGACTACAATTCCCATCATCCCTGACCACTGGTCCTGTTAGCTAGGGATGATGGGAGTTGTAGTCCGAAAACATCTGGAGGGCCAAGTTTGGGGGTGCCTGGCTTAACCCCTTCCTCATTTTTGCAGTGCCAGGCTGAGTTCCTTGGACAAAAGGTGGGATACAGTGACTTGTGAAATTTTCACAAGGGAAGAGGGCCATAGGTGCCAGCTTGTGAGTGTTGGGGGCCTGTGAACATCACACCTGATTTCCTGAACCAGGCAGAAGCTTCCTGGGCTTTGAGAAGGAGGCACCAGGGGGGAATTTAGACGACTAGCCTAGTCCCCCTCACCCACTGACTGCACGCCACTGGTGGGATATAAAGGTAATTACTAAATAACAAATGCAGTATTGGCAGAAAATGGCATAGATAGATTTAGGTATTAAAATATTTCTTTTAATTTGACAGAATCTGGATACCTGTTAATCAAAAAAAACCTTTATGCTGTTTACATAAAATAAGAGTTTAAAACAAGTTTAAACTAAAAGAATGACATAAATACAAATGAAATCTGCAGTTTCAATATACGGTGGTACCTCTGGTTATGTACTTAATTCATTCCGGAGGTCCGTTCTTAACCTGAAACTGTTCTTAACCTGAAGCACCATTTTAGCTAATGGGGCCTCCCGCTGCCGCCGCGCCGCCACTGCACGATTTCTGTTCTCATCCTGAAGCAAAGTTCTTAACCCGGGGTACTATTTCTGGGTTAGTGGAGTCTGTAACCTGAAGTGTATGTAACCCGAGGTACCACTGTATACATTATAAAGTGAAATCACGGATTAAAATACATGTCAGCTTTACATATCTGGGTGGGCTTGGCAAAAAGAACCCTTTTTTGTAAATGCTTTGAGGGTGATGGTTTTTGTTTTTGTTTTACAATCAAGTGGTTTACACATTTTATGAACTAAAGAAAGTATAAGCATTGTAACAGCACTGAAAGCACCCCCAGAAGCAGCAGAAAACTGAAGGGCCAATACCCTGAGCTGGGAGTTTCTGGCTACAATACTCAGCAGGTTCCTCTGCTGTCCTTGGGGGGGCGCCTGACCCCCATCTCTTGCTGCCAGACTGACCATGGGGCACCTCCATCGCATGGTGACAGGGGCCCTGAGGGACCGTAACTTAAGCAGCAGGGGGTGGCGCTGGGAAGAGCCGAGCTGGGTCCCTCGGTAGGCGCCTATGTCCAGCTGCATTAATATCTGTTGTCGGTTCTTTGGCTTCAGTTTCACGCCCTCAGCCGCTAGGTGTCAGCAATGTGCTGTTGCAAATCGCTCCCAGCGTGAAACCGAAGCGGAATCTGAGAGATGTGTGTATGGTCAGGTTGGTCAGGTTCACTGGCAACAACCCACTTTGTTAGCTGTCTGAAATCATTTGCCGGCTTGGTGAGCATCTAAGCACCTGGGTGTAAAGGAAACGGCGGGGGGGGGGCCCCGCAAATTTTATTATATTTATTATATTTTATTTATCATAGAATTGTAGAGTTGGGAGAAACCCTGGGGTCATCTAGTCCAACCCCCTGCAAAGATGAAACCTACAACCTTGGTGTTATCAGCCCCACACTTTAACCAACTGAGCTATATGGAGGCTAACAAATGACATTCTCTCGGTCACGTTTTTTTGAAGCGGGGTGGGGGTGAGGAGTCATTCAGTTACTTATACAGTATAAAGATGATTAATGAAAATAATAATTATGGAGCAAATCCTTTCCCCCCAACCCCGCCCCCAGAAATGCAGTATTCATTCATTCACTTATTTGGAGTGGCGGGTGGGCGATACGGCACTCTGCACATGTGCAATGGCACACTTTCCTAAACAGGCGCCGCACAAATTGCTATTGTGAAGAAGGCTGGATGGCTGCCTAAAAAGCAAAGCGAAACAAGCGCCACGTAGTGCTCGATAAGGAAACGGTCCGTTCCGCTTTCAATAGTGCAGCCATTTTGGGCGCCTTGAGTTTTGGTAATGAGCTTGCAATGAGGGTAAGTGCGTGTATTTCGCTTTTTTGGTGTTGGGGGGGGGTTGTACCGTTAAGGTACAATAATTGGTTTTTTAAAGGGGGGGCAGGAGAAACAGGACAGGCGGGTGGCGGGAAAAGCGTCCCGCTGCTTCTGCCGACTCGTCTTGTGCAGCAGTCGGGGAGGCGGCGGTCTCCAGGCTTGGAGCTCCGTGTCTTTTAAAGCGAAGCCAAAAGGGCGCACGAAATATGGGCGAGTTTCTTGCTTCGTGCGCAACCACCTGCGGATGGTGATATATGTACGTTGCTATTCTCAAATCATATAGCGCTGGGTAAGGGTGGTTCAGGCGGGAGGAAAACTAGCAGGGCGAACTTTTGCCTGGCTTCCTGCCATCGCGAATGGCTGACGCAGCCGAGAAAGAATTTGGTTCCCTTCCTTTCCTTCGGATTTCTGTCCATACCTCACATTCCCATATCATAAGTACAAAGCTGCGAGGAGCCGCACGAAGAGGAGTCTCTCTCTGTGTATCTTGTGTATTGTATCTATTTATATCTCAAAAGAAAGAAAGAAATATTTCTGCCACCCTTGGGACTGTTTCGCACGGTCGTCTTTTATGCCACGGGACGGCAACTCTCTGAGGTTCAGGCGGCACATTTCAGCCGAAGCTAAGCTTGAGATAATTTTATTTAGATGAGGGCAGAGGAAAGAGCTCCACTGTTCATTATGATTATTGTTTCTTGATCTGTTCAGAATTGCGTGGATCTGAATCTGCCCACCCACGTTTTAAATTGTTGGGACTGCTCAAGGACACACACACACACACACACACCCAATACAAACTCCCTATGTGGTTTTACCGGTACTTCTTTTATTTGGAAAACGAAGAAGCCGCTTGTTGAACAAAATTATTCAAGCAGGGCACATGTTTTGCTACTTAGAAACGCGACTATAATACCAAACCAATAAAAGCAAGTGTGTAGGGAATCATTATTGCAAGCAAGGTCAAATTTAAACATTTTAAAACAAGTCAAGGTCGCAGGTTCAATCCCCATAGGGTTCAATCCTCATATATTCCTGCATTGCAGGTGATTGGACTTGATGATCCCCAGGGACGCTTCCAGCTTTACAGTTCTATGATTGTAATTAAATTATGTGGCTGGAATCGGGCTTACTGGAGTTTTCGGCAGACGTGTAATAATACAATATGCACCTGCCTCGTGCCACCAAGGGCAGTGTTTGGTGTGGACGAAAAATACAGCAGTTCAGGATGGGGAGCGGGTTTTGTTACTGAAAGAAGGGAAGGCACCTTATACATGGCGAACCACGACTCAAAGGACGGGGCCAGCCCTCCCATGAGATCAGGTGACTGCCTCAGGCAGCAGGATCCACAGAGGCAGCAGATCCAATGTCAGTCTTTCTTCCCTGATACTGGCGGGGAGATGGGATGCCATTTTGGGGGGTCTGCCTCAGGTGCCAAAAGGCTTTGGCCTGGCCCTGTCAAGGGATAGGAGAGACTCACAAATGACTACCAAGAGCTTCTGCAAAACGGCTCTGTTCCCATTGGCCTGATCTTGCTCAGTATTCCCTACACACGGATTGACAGTGACTGCTCACAATTTCAAAAAGGGGAGTTGCCTGAAACATCGAGAGACTGAACTTGAGATTTGCTGCTCTGCCACTGAGCGATGCAGTTCTGCCCTCCCTAGTTCTATGGAGCAGATTCTTTCCTAGCTTCCCCCACTATTCTGCATCCCCTTGTACTGTGGCCTGATCTATACACCCCTGCAGAACAGATGGACTGTACCGCTTTAAATTATAAGTAGGAGTGCTCTTTTTGAAGGCTCCCACATCTGAAAATCTTGTTGAGTCAGGGGAGAAATTGCATGCCGTTGGAGAAAGGCTTTAGAGCTCAGTCCTCTCCTCTCCTTGATCTCCTGGTTTTCTACTTGCACATAGGGTTTTGTTTTGTTGCAAATTGATAATTTTAAATCTGCTGTCTGAAGTTGTGTGGCCTGTTCAGAAGTTCTTCTTGATTTCCACTTCATCCTGCCATGCGGACAGCCCAGGACTGAATTTGAGACAGCCAAGTTGGGAGTGAAGAGGCTGGGACAATGTGGGAAAAACTGGTTTACAGTTTCTCTAGTAGAGAGAAAAGAGACTTTGCCCTATCTCTAAATAAAAAATTGTTCCATTAGGAATTGTTCCACCCCCATTGTTCTGCCCAGACACTGAGACACCAGCAGTGGCGTAGCGTGGGGGGTGCAGGGGGTGCCGGCTGCACCGGGCGCAACACTTGGGGGGGGCGCGCTCGCACTCGCAGCTCTCTGCCCCTACCTGGCTCACTCTCTCTCTCTCACTGCAGTGCTGGCTGTGCGAATCCGATCCGAGCCGCTGGGTCGCCGCCCACTGTGGAGGGGGTGGGTGCCAGGCGTGCGGTGCGGAGAGAGAGCGAGGGACTATCTGGGGGAGGGACAGTGCAGCGGCCGCCCTGCGCAGCGCTGAGCGCGGGAGAGAACCACACCAGACCAGACCAGGCAGCAGCAAGAAGAAGCTGGCAGCGGCGGCAGGTTAGGGGTTAGGGGGCGCAAATTACTTGCCTTGCCCCAGGTTAGGGGGCGCAAATTACTTGCCTTGCCCCGGGTGCTGACAACCCACGCTACGCCACTGGACACCAGACAAAGAGAAAAATAACTACAGTGGTACCTCGGGTTACATACGCTTCAGACTACAGACTCTGCTAACCCAGAAATATTACCTTGGGTTAAGAAATTTGCTTCAGGACGAGAACAGAAATCGTGCTCTGGCGGCGCGGCGGCAGCGGGAGGCCCCATTAGCTAAAGTGGTGCTTCAGGTTAAGAACAGTTTCAGGTTAAGAACGGACCTCCAGAATGAATTAAGTACTTAACCCAAGGTACCACTGTACCAGACTTTTAGAAGACATCTGAAGGCAGCCCTGTTTAGGGAAACTTTTAAATGTTTAATAGACTATTGTATTTTAATATTCTGTTGGAAGCCGTCCAGAGTGGCTGGGGAAACCCAGCCAGATGGGCGGGGTATAAATGATAAATTATTATTATTATTATTATTATTATTATTATTATTATTATTAGTGCTGTGTAGTGGGTAGCTAACAAGTAGATAAATAGGTACTGCTGTGGCGGGAAGGTAAACAGTGTTTCCTTGCACTCTGGCTTCCCACGCGGTGTCCTGTTGCACCAGAAACAGTTTAGTCCTGCTGGCCACATGACCCGGAAAGGTGTCTGTGGACAAACGCCGGCTCCCTCAGCCTGAAAGCGAGATGAGCACCACAACCCCATAATCACCTTTGACTGGACTTAACCTTCCAGGGGTCCTTAACCTTTTTACCTGACTTCCTGCAGACAATGCTTAAGCATCTGAAGTCTGTAAGCTGAAGCGTCTGTAACCCGAGGTACCACTATATTTTTATGCTGTGAACCGCCCTGAGGTCTATGGACAAAGGGCAGTACAGTGGTACCTCGGGTTACAGACACTTCAGGTTACAGACTCTGCTAACCCAGAAATAGTACCTCTGCTTAAGAGCTTTACCTCAGGATGAGAACAGAAATTGCGTGGCGGCGGCAGAGGGAGGCCCCATTAACTAAAGTGGTACCTCAGGTTAAGAACGTTTTCAGGTTAAGAATGGAGCTCTGGAACGAATTAAGTATGTAACCAGAGGTACCACTGTACTAAAATTTTCTAACTGCAATTCTGTCTGTAGATATTCTGTTGATGGATCTCAACCATAACTCTTGCTACCAGCTGCCAAATCAGTGACTTCCAGGACGATGAATAGGAACAGAACTTGCTGACTAATAACTTTATTTTTAGTTAGCTTAATTATAACACAGCAGAGTAAAGCACAGCTTTGTACAAGTTACTATATACACAGACTAGATTCAAACTTCTTTCCAAAACTTCAATACTCCAACAAGAAAACTGTTTTGTCATCCTGCTTATATAAGGAAGAACTTAGCCAATCACCGTCTGTTGCTCGGTTTCCTTATCTCCAAGCAGACTTTCTACATGTTTAACTTGGCTTGTTGCCAACCCACTAATTGTTTTTCCAAAAGCTGCAGGAAAACTCAAAATCTCAACAGATTCAACATTGCCCTTCTGTACAACGCCTGCTGAAATCTTTTCTGTTAGGCCCATGCAGGCAATTATGAACACATCTTTCCACAATGCTTACCTGATTGCTGATTTATTTATTTTTAATAGTTTTATGTACTATTAAACTGCTTTGGGGTTTTTTTTCTGATTAGGTAAAGGTAAAGGGACCCCTAACCATTAAGTCCAGTCGTGACCGACTCTGGGGTTGTGGTGCTCATCTCGCTTTATTGGCCGAGGGAGCCTGCGTACAGCTTCCAGGTCATGTGCCAGCATGACAGCGTTCGCAACCAGAGCCGCCGAAAACAATTACTTCCGCAGGACAGTACCATTTACTACTTGCTTGATGTGCTTTCACTAGTGGCAGAGAAAAGAGTAGCAAGAAAGATTTGATTTGATATCCCCTTCACCCTTCAGGAGTTCAAGCGGCTACTTCTATTTCCTCCTCCCCACTTGTGATGAGTGGGCTGGGCTTGAGAAGCGTGACTGCCAGGTCACCAGCAGCTGCATAGAGCGAGATGCGAACCGGTCCCAATTAGAGACTACGCCTACCCTACACCACACTGCGGACTGAGCAACGGGAGCTCACCCTGTCACAGGGATTTGAACCGCCAACCTTCTGAATCAGCAGAGGCCGCCTAGGCGTCTGTGGTTTAACCCACAGTGCCACCTGCGTCCCTTTTTTTCTGAATAGTGGTATATACCGTATTTTTCGCTCTATAACACACACCAGACCATAACACGCACGTAGTTTTTAGAGGAGGAAAACAAGAAAAAAAATATTCTAAACGAAATAATGGATATATGATTTTTGTGGTTCATGCTGTGGCCACAGACATGTGATCTGACAGTGAGTTTGGAGTAGCCCAATGCAAAAATCCTGAGGATCCATGTGGATCCATGCTTTGTAACCACAGAGGAGGGAAGGAAGGGGAACCATGGATCCTCTGCTCACGACTGCAGCAGATTCCCCCCCCCCCGCCACCCGCAGGCATTTGCTCCATAACATGCTCAGACATTTCCCCTTACTTTCTAGGAGGAAAAAAGTAAGTGTTATGGTGCAAAAAATACGGTAAATATTTTTATAAATGAGCAAACTCTTGTGAAACTATCTACATCACCCAGAGCTGATACTCATCATCTGCGGGCCTTAACTGAGAAAATATCTGGGACCAAAAGAGCATTTTTCACTCCATCTCGTGATAACAAAGGAAGGCATGAGATTATGCTGAATGCCCTTGCTATTGTACTATGGCAGCCTCGTGAACATCCTGTTCTACAAGCACTTGTCAATTTTGGTGCAGTTAAATTGTTTCGCTAGGTTGTGCCTGTGTTCCCAATTCCCTATTCTTCTGGATCACATATCTTCTCTTTTGTACCTGCCAACTAACATTTCTGTATCACAACAGAAAACTTTTAATGTTGCTCTCAAATCCTATCCAGTTTGTACCTTGAGTAGGTTTTGATAGGATCACACTGTAAAGAAAACAAATTATCCCTTTGTAGGGATGTGTGCATTCCAGCCTCTATAGTGTAACATACTCCAAAGACCCTAGGGAAGAGTTTTACCTGAGGAGCATCTTTCAGAACTTACTACAAAGAGTTGCATTTATTTGATGTAAGCATGCATTATTCATCTTGTCTTTTATTTTGTGGTAGCCTTCCATTGCCTTTGTTGCACTCCACACAGTGATAGTTCCACGGTCAAAATAAGTTGTCTCATTTCCTCAATTGTGAGGTCTCTCATACATTCCTAAACAAATTTCTCTTCCAATACCCGTTTGCAGGTGTACCACCAGGGAAGTTCGGCTGGCACTTTCATTATACACCTTTAGTCACCAGGCAAAAACGTTCCTTTTTAACCAGGCCTTTGGTTGATCCAGTTTACATCCTATGCCCTTTTAAAATATGGTGGGTTTGGGGGTTGGGGTTGGGAGGGGAGGGTCTGTTATTGGGTTGTTGTTTTTATTTTGATTATATATTTTGTGGTTTTGTATTTTGATTTTGTTCTGTGAACTGCCCGGAAACCTCCAGGTATAGGGCAGTATATAAATATAAAATATAAATAGTAGTAGTAGTAGAAATAATAATAATAATAATAATAATAATAATAATAATAAATAAATAAATAAATAAATAAATGTGATGGTCTAAAGTGGCATGATACGGCTTTAGATGTATGGTGCATATGTGTCTGGGACTGGCTGGATACTGATGAATGGGCACCAGGAAAAGCTGGGTTGGAAATGGACTTGGAAGAAGGAAGGGATCAGTCTTCTGAGGGAACCTGTTGCAGCTGGGAGATGAGTCAGATGTAGCAGTGGCTGTAGGATGGCAGAGTGGAGAATAAGTGCAGGGGGAGGGCAAGACAGGGAAGGCTGGTAGAGAGTCACAGACGTCCACACCTCCTGCAGGTTACATGCAGGCAGAATGTGTCTGCTTGCACAGATACATAAGCTGAAGTCGGGGTGTGGCCTTTCTTCTGCAGCGACTGAGTCATGGACGGCTACAATTTCCCTAACCTGTGTGTGACCTTTGGCAATAAAGAATGAATTACTTCCTCTGGAAATTGTTTGCCCTTCCAGTGCCTTGACCAAATGTGACCCTAGGCTACATGGTTAGTGAAAAGAGAGGTTAACCTTGAGTCCTGGTTCAGGCAACTCAGCACAGCAAGGCAAGTAAAAGGTAACGGTAAAAGACCCCTGGACAGTTAAGTCCAGTCAAAGGCAACTATGGGGTTCATCTCGCTTTCAGGCCGAAGGAGCCAGTGTTTGTCCATAGACAAACATGTAGCCAGCATGGCTAAACCGCTTCTGGCACAACGGGACACCATGACAAGTGCCAGAGCGCATGGAAATGCTGTTTACCTTCCCGCCACAGCAGTACCTATTTATCTACTTGCACTGGCGTGCTTTTGAACTGCTAGGTTGGCAGGAGCAGGGACCGAGCAACGGGAGCTCACCCTGTCGCGGGGATTCGAACCGCCAACCTGATTGGCAAGCCCAAGAGGTTTAGAACACAGCACCACCCAAAAAGGACCAGGGAGGGGCAAAGTGGCTGCAGATTCCTCCAGGGGAGCCTACACACTGGCATGGTTCCAGTAATCCATAATGTGGCTTACTGTGCCATACAAACCAGGCTTCTCACTTGTTCGATGCAAGGGCAGTCTACATGAGCCCAATTTCATGTCAGTCCAGCCTGAGAGCCATTGTTATCTCACCATACCTTATTATCTCTTCTTTCCAGGTTAATAAACACCATGGGTCCCCTGAGAGAACCTTTATTTTACTGGATCTGTTGTCATCACACATAACCTTATACAGAACAGGTGGGAAGAAGTTTCTCCAGTTGCCCACCTGAGATACTGAAGACTGGAATTTTCATAGGCTGTTCACACCTGAACCTTGGCAGATGTGTCTAGAGTAAAAGGCTCGGCCTCACTTGGCATGAAGTATCTGGCGGAAAGTATCTTTTCCTATTGGCTCCATGAATTTATGGAATTATCTTTGCTGATGGGTCTGCTGAATGGCATCTCTGCAGAAGTAACGCCTTTTTGCTTGGGCTGTGCCTTTGACCACCTTGGCCTATGCAGGTGAATATACTGATTGTTTTGTTTTCACTGTTTGCCTTTTTAGACGTGTGTAAAGTGTATAGGAACAATTGTAACTAATGTTCTGTTTATTCCTCAACTTGAACATAATTTAATGTCCATTTCAAAACTTCTATGAATTTTGAAGTTACATTTGTTGAAGAGAGATGTGAAATGGAAAGGTTTGCATAGCAGGAAAGCTAGAAAATTCATTGTATCTTATAAGGGGAAATTGTTTGGAATCTTACAACAAAGAAAATTTAAAAGTAGAGATGACAATGTAAAATGGGGGGAAAGCCTCCATATGATGAATGCACACATTTGTTCCATAGGTGTTTAGGACATGCCAGCTTTCAGACATTAAGTAAAAGGCCAGGATTGTGCTCAGATATGAAGTTAAAGCCATGTAAATCCTTTATGGAGTGTAATACTTGCAGGGAGAGTAAATCAACAACAGCTCCGATATAGTGGCCCCCAAACTTAAATTGATTATGGATGAAATAATAGACAAAGGAGAAATTCCAGAATCCTGGCAAGAAGCTTTGATAACTCTCCTTCCAAAACAAGGGGCAGACCCGAAGTTGATTAAAAATTATAGACAGATTTCTCTGTTGGATATAGACTATAAAAATTTTACTGGGGTCTTAGCAAATAGGATGAAAATCATTTTAAAAAGAATTATAGGAAAGACCAGGCTGGTTTCCTACCAGAAAGACAAATAAAAGATAACACTAGGATAATTATTGACTTAATGGAATATGCTAAAATGAACCTGAGGAAAAAAATAGTAATGTTATTGGTAGACGCTGAAAAGGCATTTGATTGTATCTCATGGAGTTTCCTGACGGAGACATTTGAAAGTTTGAGAATAGGAAATAGAATAATGAATGGAATTAAAGCTATCTACAAAAAACAAAAAGCGAAACTAAGGATAAATAATGAAATTACAGAGGGATTTGATATTGAGAGAGGGGTTAGACAGGGATGCCCCTGTCGCCACTGTTATTCATTATGGCGCTGGAAACCCTTCTAGGAGCATTAAGAAAAGACAAGGAAATTAGAGGGACGAATGTAGGAAACCCGTGCTATAAAGTTAAAGGATTTGCAGATGAAGTGATTATAACGAGGGAAGCACCATTAGAAAGTATTCAAAGAACTCTAGAAAAAAATGAAGGAATTCGGCAAGGTTTTGGGCTTTAAGTTGAATAAAGAAAAGTCGAAACTATTGGCAAAGAATATGGGAGAGAAAGACAGAGAAGAGTTAGAGAAAACAACAGGGCTAAAAATAGAAGGTCAAGTGAAATATTTAGGTCTTTGGATAACAAATAAAAATACGAACTTATTTAAAGACAACTATATCAAAAAATGGAAAGAAATCAAAGAAAACTTAAAATGTATATAGGGAGTGCAGTGTAAGCGATGGAAGTCAATCAATGAAATTTAATTAATTAATTAATTAATTAACATATTGAGATATTTGTAGAATAAATTTGGAAGAAATTCTTCCAACTTTTCTTCTTCTTTTTCTTTTCTTCTTTTTTCCTCTTTTGTTCTTTTTTATATATGTGTGTATTTTATATTTTGTTCTTTTTTATATATGTGTGCTTACCGTATTTTTCGTCCTATAAGGTGCACCGGCCCATAGGACGCACCTCATTTTTGGGGGGGGAAATGAATTTAAAAAAATTATTTTCCCCCCCCCAGCCCTGGCTGCTGCCCCAAGCCTTGCGCTCACCTGCCCGAAGCAGGGGAAGCCCTCCAGAGGGCTCCCCGTGCTTCGGGGCGACAGGCTGCTGCCCCAAGCCTCGCGCACCCGGTGGGACCTCCTGCCGGGCGCGGGAGGCTTGCAGACACTCGCCGGAAGCAGGGGGAGCCCTCCGGAGGGCTCCCCCTGCTTCGGGCGACAGGCTGCCGCCCCAAGCCTCGCGCACCCGGTGGGACCTCCTGCCGGGCGCGCGAGGCTTGCAGACACTCGCCCCAAGCAGGGGGAGCCCTCCGGAGGGCTCCCCGTGCTTCGGGCCACAGGCTGCCGCCCCAAGCCTCGCGCACCCGGTGGGACCTCCTGCTGGGCGCGGGAGGCTTGCAGACACTCGCCGGGGCTGCAGGCTGCTGCCCGCAAGCCTTGTGAGCCCGCGGGTACTCCCACCGGGCTTGCAAGGCTTGCGGATAGCTTCCTGAAGCCTGGAGAGCGAGAGGGGTCGGTGCGCACCGATGCCTCTCGCTCTCCAGGCTTCAGCGAAAGCCTGCATTCGCCCCATAGGACGCACCCAGATTTCCCCTTCATTTTTGGAGGGGAAAAAGTGCGTCCTATGGGGCGAAAAATACGGTATGTATGTATTTGAAATACTTTGCTTATACAGCTCCCATTTACACAAAATGTGAAAGAAATTCTAAGTGACTTCTGGAGCTTCTGCATAGAGATTTAGCAGGTCCATTCCAGAAAACTGTGGGAAGAGCTAAATTTGATCTCATAATCATCAAATGATTTTTCATGTTTTGGGTTCATTATAGTTGTTAAATCATAAAGGAGCAAATAAAATTTTCACATGGTGTAAATGTTGTGTAAATGTTTTGAAAGGATAAATGGAACAAAAAAAATGTTTAAGATATTTGAATGGAAAAGATTCTTATGACCCCCCATCTTATGACTTTGGGTACCCACTGTCTTCTTGTCAATGTTGTATTGTTCTGCTGGGGTGGGGGCTACTGTGAAAAGTGGCATTGGCCTGGGTTTTTTTGTGGATTTTCAGTGGAGATGTTTTGAAGCTCAGAATTCAACACTTCTCATGGCACCATATTTGGCTTTTAGATCAGGCAAAGTGGTCAGGGATGATGGGAATTGTAGTCCCAAACATCTGGAGGGCTGGAGTTTGCCTTTGCCTGTTTTAGATAGTATTTTAGAGCATGGGGAGCAGAAGGTAGGTTAAGATGTGCTTTGAAGTTCATCATTGGCAAAGATTTCTGACTCCTAATTGTTTAGCTGTGGCAATGGCAATGACAAGAAGACCTCCTCCAACATAATTATACTCCTAAAATGATGAATATTTGGGGGTGCGGGGGGTTTCAGGAGTAACAACAACAAACCACATCAGTAAAATCAAGAAAAATTAACAACCCTACTTTAAAACATACAAAAGCTAAAATATTAAAACAGATTAAAATTACTTCAACTTCCTAAGCATCTGGGTACGCTTGCCTAAACAAGAATGCTTTTAGCAGGTGCCTGAAAAGCGTATAGCAAAGGCACGTGCTTTGTTGCAATAGGCAGGGAGTTCCAAAGTGCAGCTGCTGCCACACTAAACAATGCAGTACAGATATAATGTGGTACCTGTAGTAGTGCTTGAAACTACTGAAGGGGAGGTTTTATTTATTGTGATTTCACCAAGCTCTGTATTGTCTGAAGAGGAAAACAGTTGTTTAAAAAGCAGGACTGCACAGCAGCAACCTACTCGCCTGCGAGTCTCGTCATGATAAGTGGGACTTATTCCTGAGCCAACGGTGCATAAGACGGGCTGCAATCCTATGCACCCCTTGCATCCAACTTGTACCTAAAAACCTGCACAAACCTGCACCAGAGAATTGTAGAGTTGGAAGGGACCCCTGAGGGTCATCTAACCAACCCCCTGGGGCAATGCAGGAATCTCCAGCAGGACCATCCCTGACCGATGGCCATCCAGCATCTGTTTATGACCTCCAAGGAAGTAGAGGCCACCTCCTCCCAAGAGAGATCTTTCCACTTCCTGATGTTTTGACAGCATGGGGGAGGCTTGGGAGTTGTGGGCGGGTGGCGCGCCGCCATTGCCCCACGCTTCTGGGGTTGCCTCCGGGGGGGGGGGGAGCCTCCCAAGCCTCCCCCGAGGGGGAAGGCCGTCTGCAAAGCAGTGCAACCCCCAACCCCAGAGAGCAGCCCGGGAGTGCGGGGCAACAGCACACAGCCTGCCCGTGACTTCCAAGCCTTCCTAGAGCCTTCAGGGGAAAGGGGAGGCCGCGGGCAAAGCAGCGTGGCTCCCCGCCCCCACCCCCAGCCAGGAAGCAGCCTAGGAGCTGCCATTTTGTCATCCTCCTCAGTAATGACACCTGGAGTGGCTCGCACCCTCCTGCCCTGTTATTGTTGTTGTTGTTTAGTCATTTAGTCGTGTCTGACTCTTCGTGACCCCACGGACCAGAGCACGCCAGGCACTCCTGTCTTCCACTGCCTCCCGCAGTTTGTTCAAACTCATGCTGGTAGCTTCGAGAACTCTGTCCCACCATCTCGTCCTCTGTCGTCCCCTTCTCCTTGTGCCCTCCATCTTTCCCAACATTAGGATATTTTCCAGGGAGTCTCCACTTCTCATGAGGTGGAGTCTCAGCTTCAGGATCTGTCCTTCCAGTGAGCACTCAGGGCTGATTTCCTTAAGAATGGAGAGGTTTGATCTTCTTGCAGTCCATGGGACTCTCAAGAGTCTCCTCCAGCACCATAATTCAAAAGCATCAATTCTTCAGCGATCAGCCTTCTTTATGATCCAGCTCTCACTTCCATACATCACTACTGGGAAAACCATAGCTTAATACGGACCTTTGTTGGCAAGGTGATGACTCTGCTTTTTAAGATGTTGCCTAGGTTTGTCATTGCTTTTGTGGAACATCTTTCAGTGCTGCTAGGCCAAGCCACTGATCAGAGACTGGGCTGGATCTGCTCTAAAATCTAGCATCTTAAAATTATCTCAAGACCAATATTCTCAAAAGAAAATTAACCAACATTTATCACCAAAGTCATGTTGACTCTCTCACCCCAAAAATGATGGAATGGACCCTAAGTTGTCATCAGTAATGATTTACATAACAGCTTTTAAGTATATTTTGTATTTTATGTTTTGAATTGGATTGATATTTTATATGTTTTTAAAGAATGGTAGGCTGACAGATAGACACACAGACAGATATTCTTGCTAAGCCTAGCAATACCAAAAAATGATTGCTGGAGATATGGGCAGTGCTTTTTTTAAGCTGGAACTCGCCAGAACTCAGTTCCAGCCCCTCTCAGGTGGGTGCCATTGCCATTATAAGAGACCAAGGGAGGCTTCAAGGCGAGTTCCGAGTAGTGCTTTCTTTCTGGAAAAACAGGTGGGGAAACTCACCACGAGATGATAGATAGATAGATAGATAGATAGATAGATAATAGATGATTGAGGTGAATGGGATTGATCGATTGGTTGTGGGCCCAGTCATAGTGGCACAAACCCACACCCCAGGCAGTGGCTAAATATAAGACATGATTAATAAACAAAAGCAGACAATGATTGAGTTAGAA